GAGAGAGAGAGAGGCATTAGATGTATTTGTGGAGTGATTGGACTGTAGAGTACGTGACATACTATTAGAGTTTCCAAACGTATCATTCATTTGACGGACAGTTTTTTACGATAACTTAAAAACAATTTTTGGAAAATTCTTAATTGAAAAGTGAATTTCATGTTAAAAATAGCGCAAAAATTGACTTAAAATGTTATAAAACTAACGTTTGTTTATAAAAGAAAGTCTCTTTATATTCTACAGACACCTTATTTAGTCCTCAAACGTATCGATTTGTTTGAAATAATAAACTTTTTAAATCGCAAAAATTGACTTAAAATGTTATAAAACTAACGTTTGTTTATAAAAGAAAGTCTCTTTATATTCTACAGACACCTTATTTAGTCCTCAAACGTATCGATTTGTTTGAAATAATAAACTTTTTAAAACAAAAACATCATTTATAATAACAAATTTTGATTTAAACAACTTTTAGTTAATCTCTAAAATTATTTTACTTTCATCGAAATAATTGTATTATTATATACTCTGTTAATGACTGGAAATTATTATAAGATATTACCGGTATCAAAAATTTTAATTATAAAATGTCTAATATTGTTTATTATTTGCTTATAATATTTTTATCGCATACTTTACATACTTTCGTAAAAGTATTGTTTTAAAAATTTAATTATTATCACTTTTTTAAAACAGTTCATTGTTTGCTATAAAAAGATTGCAAAATTTAATTAGTATTTAAACGCTATTTACTAAAAATAATTATAAATCCATGTAATTGAAGACATTTGAATTGAGAGCGAAATGAATACTAAATTTATACAAATTTTGGCACAACTTATTACAAGAGTTACTAAACTAACTGTTTTTGTTTGATTTTTGTAGGACCTCCCGGACCCCCAGGTCCTGCTGGGCCTCCCGGGCGAAAGGTTTGATATGTTTATTAATTAATTATATATACATTTTAACCAAATTAACTGATTAACAATTTTCACTTATCTTTTACCAAAACTTTATTTTTATGTTTCACTCAACACTTATCTATGTTTATGTGTTTTAAAACATTTGTTTATCAATTCTAATAACACTTTCCTTTAGTTTTGATTACATTTGAAACCATTATCCGAATTATATGTTGTCCTCGAAAACCGATTTTTATGTTTTAAATGTTTTGATTTGATTTTGTGAGCAAAATATCAATTTTCATCAATTGTAATAAAAAGTGAATGAAAATTGGACTTCAAAGGGGATTGTAATGTCTCTCTTGAGTTACAAAACAATGTTTTGCGACAACTATTTTGTATGTATTTTTCATTTCTAGGGCGACGTCGGTATCCCCGGCCCTCCCGGAGAACACGGAGAAAAGGGGGACAAAGGGGAGAGGGGAAGGCGGGGTAAACGGGTAATCAATTGAATAATTACACTTTTGTCGAGACATTTTGCAGTAGTTGTTTAGTTTTGACGTCATTAGACAATTCATTTGAATTACTGATAATCACTCTCAGCATCACTTCTCAGCATTTATTAATATAATATTTTTGAAATATTTATTTTTATATACAAAAGCGGGTCAAACAAATTGTGTGTTCAATAATTGTTTATATATATAACTATTTATAAATGTATTTCTAAATGTGTTATTAGATGATGAATATATCGATGCATATATTGTTTGTGTGTTTTTCGGAATTAATGGTTTGATTCCTCATTGAAATGCTTTCTCTAATTGTCTATTCTTTATGAATACAATTTATGTGTTTTTCTTTCTCTCCTATTATTGTCATCTATATATCACTTCTCACTCTCTTCTATGCGAATCAATACTAATATTAACTCTAACTATGAATACTAAACGTAAGTAACACTTGCTTTCAACAAATTCCTATACCATTCGTGTGCCAAACAATACATTACCTTTCCTTTCGTTTCCTTTCCTTTTGTTCTTCCCATCGATTGACGGCTAAAGAAATATACATTTTGTCTTCATTTCCCGATTATTATTATTGTTATTATTACTGTTATTACAACGAATACTATTTGCATGAATAGTGTTGAAAATTATTATATATTTTATTTGCATGTTTTGCAGATATTTCTGAAAATATTCTTTCACTTATTTATTCAATTGGGTTTTATAAAAGTCTTCATATGAGGAATATAATGGGTTTTACAAACATTTTGTTTCCAACGCTAGAAATAAATGATAATATCATTAGTTTTTATGGGATTTCTTTGAAATTCTATTACATTTATCATATATTTATTTTTTGATAATTTATTTTTATAATACACTTGGAATGCATTTCATATGTCTATTAGTAGAGAATATATTACATTATAGTTATGTCTATTCTGTTAGACTCAATATATATTAATATTATAAACTAATAATCGTTTTGTAGTAATTCATGCGTTTCTTTGTCTCTTATTTATAAATATCACATAAAAAATACTTAACATAACCGTATGTTTAATGATTTTTAAGTTTAGTTTTTGCAATACATAACTTCTTAACGCTTGAATTTTGTCGTCAAAAAATGTATTTCTTAACTGTTTTTTGCAAACAAGAAAGAAATATAAATAAAAGTAAAACTTATTTTTTACGTTTCAATTGAATTATGTCTTAATTGTGTTATTTTAATAAACATCTGGTAATGAATGTTAATTTTTATGCCAATTTTGCTTTTGAAACTTCTATTAGATTAGGAAAAACAATTTTATTATAAAAGTATAATTAAAATTATGAACAAACTTTTGCTTTGTTTTTCTTTAGCCGTCAATTGAAATGAATGTTAAAACACTTTAAATGTTATTAACTATTCATTACATATATGTGTTAAATGTGTTATAAATGTTTTATTGAATTTCTGTTTTTATTTCATAAAACTAATTATAAATAAAACAATTTTGTTTGTTATTCTATGAGAAAATCAGATTATTTTACAATCAATTAATTTTTTCAATCAAATGATATTTTGAGTCCAGAATCAGACTATTAATAGCTTTTTAACTATTAATGAAACATAAAAACAAGAAATGTTTGTCACAGAAATGCCGAGCGATTTGTTATCCATAAGTGAATCTAATCCATGGATTGACTTTTTGATTGATTGGACTTAAAATATATCTGAATTTTAATTAATGTCACTTTAAATGTATCTCATTTTCTGATGAATTTTCTAAATATAAAACAAACCATTCGTTTGCCTTATAGTTAACCCTCGAGTCTCTGACGACTGTCTCGACTAATATCTGAATATCAAACGAAAATCAGTGCACTTTTCGCTCACTAATTATTAATGAATTTATTTATATTTATGTCTGAATCCATAATTGAGTGGAGGAGAGACTTATTGAGTTAGTGAGTGATTGAGAGAGAGAGAGAGAGAGAGAGAGAGAGAGAAAGAAAAACACATAAATTGTATTCATAAAGAATAGACAATTAGAGAAAGCATTTCAATGAGGAATCAAACCATTAATTCCGAAAAACACACAAACAATATATGCATCGATATATTCATCATTCTTACGTTTAGTATTCATAGTTAGAGTTAATATTAGTATTGATTCGCATAGAAGAGAGAGAGAGAGAGAGAGAGAGAGATCATGACTTCGGATATAAATCTAATTGGATTAGTGGTAAAGGGTTTCGTAAATAGTTATTTCCGACACTTTAATCACATTAAGTCCTCGATTTAGATGAAAGACAAATGATGTTAATTTCAATGAATTTTGCACATGTATTGCCAGAATTGACAAACATTTCTGACATAACAATCTTTATTTAGTTCTAAATCAACAAAAATATGTTGTAATGAGAAGATATAAAACAATTTAGAAATAACTGGAGACTAAATCATTTAAAATTGCAATATTGATGTATTATTTAGGCATTTGTTTGATAGTAAGACTGAATAGACAAACGAATGGATGTAATAAATAAATCAGAAAATAAGATACTCTAACCGTCGATGCGATCGACTTTTGGTTTCATAGAATTAATTACTACTTCTAACACAAAATTGGTTTTAATTAATTATTTGTTTCATTAATTTAAGGGCAAATCTGGAAAACCCGGAATACGCGGTCTGTCGGGAGACGCGGGCCCTAAGGGAGAAGCGGGAGATTCAGGACTTACCGGTTCTAAAGGAGATATCGGTTTGCCTGGAACTCAAGGAGAAAGAGGTTTACCGGGCAATGACGGCACTTCTGGCCCTCAGGGACCCCCTGGTCTGCCCGGAGCTGTCGGCTTAAGAGGTTTGAGTTTTTACAAGAATATCAGTTTAATGTTTAATTTGTTATAAAACTAATATTTAATAATTATTTGTATTAAACAGGACAACCCGGAGACTTGGGTCCGCCAGGAATGATGGGTCCTCCAGGTCTTCCCGGCCCTCCCGGAAAGTTTGGACCAAAAGGTTTAACCGTTAATCCCATTATTCAAGAATATATTTTAAATATTTGTTTTATATTTGTTGATCCATTTAGGAGATCGAGGGGATAAAGGAGACGGTTCTGTGAGTTTGATATAACTCTCAAATGAAATTTAAATTGAATTAACTGTTGATTGAATTTATATTCCAATTGTTAGACGTCTCTCGGATTTATGAAATCAGATTACGAAGCTTTTGGCGACCGATTTGAAGCCGCTGGACGTCCGGGTCCTCCCGGCCCTCCTGTATGTCATCTATCGAGTGAATAGTATTACAAATAATTAACATTTAAATTGTCATTTAAGGGCGAAATAGGTCTGAGGGGTCCGCCAGGTATTAAAGGAGACGCCGGACACACAGGAGAACCCGTGAGTTATTGAATGAAATGATGATTTTGTTTGTTATAACTAATGCATAATTGATTGTCTTCTCAGGGCGTGAAAGGAGATGTGGGACCGATGGGCTTACCCGGACCTATGGTATAATAATCTGTCTGAAAATATACTTTATTAGTCCTCGATTTAGATGAAAGACAAATGATGTTAATTTCAATGAATTTTGCACATGTATTGCCAGAATTGACAAACATTTCTGACATAACAATCTTTATTTAGTTCTAAATCAACAAAAATATGTTGCAATGAAAAGATATAAAACAATTTAGAAATACTGGAGACTAAATCATTTAAAATTCCAATATTGATGTATTATTTAGGCATTTGTTTGATAAGTAAGACTGAATAGACAAACGAATGGATGTAATAAATAAATCAGAAAATAAGATATTCTAACCGTCGATGCGATTGACTTTTGGTTTCATAGAATTAATTACTACTTCTCTCACAAAATTTGTTTTAATTAATTATTTGTTTCATTAATTTAAGGGTAAATCTGGAAAACCCGGAATACGCGGTCTGTCGGGAGACGCGGGCCCTAAGGGAGAAGCGGGAGATTCAGGACTTACCGGTTCTAAAGGAGATATCGGTTTACCTGGAACTCAAGGAGAAAGAGGTTTACCGGGCAATGACGGCACTTCTGGCCCTCAGGGACCCCCTGGTCTGCCCGGAGCTGTCGGCTTAAGAGGTAAGAGTTTTTACAAGAATATTAGTTCAATGTTTAATTAGTTGTAAAACTAATATTTAATTATTATTTTCACCTAACAGGACAACCCGGAGACTTGGGTCCGCCAGGAATGATGGGTCCTCCAGGTCTTCCCGGCCCTCCCGGAAAGTTTGGACCAAAAGGTTTATCCGTTAATCCCATTATTCAAGAATATATTTTTAATATTTGGTTTATATTTTTTGGTCCATTTAGGAGATCGAGGGGATAAAGGAGACGGTTCTGTGAGTTTGATATAACTCTCAAATGAAGTATAAATTGAATTAACTGTTGACTGAATTTATATTCCAATTGTTAGACGTCTCTCGGATTTATGAAATCAGATTACGAAGCTTTTGGCGACCGATTTGAAGCCGCTGGACGTCCGGGTCCTCCCGGCCCTCCTGTATGTCATCTATTGAGTGAATAGTATTACAAATAATTAACATTTAAATTGTCATTTAAGGGCGAAATAGGTCTGAGGGGTCCGCCAGGTATTAAAGGAGACGCCGGACACACAGGAGAACCCGTGAGTTATTGAATTAAATGATGATTTTGTTTGTTATAACTAATGCATAATTGATTGTCTTCTCAGGGCGTGAAAGGAGATGTGGGACCGATGGGCTTACCCGGACCTATGGTATAATAATCTGTCTGAAAATATACTTTAT